AAGAGGTCATTTTTTAATTTTAAACCACTTTCCAAATAACTAAAAAAAACTGACAAAAAGTTACAGTAAGTAAACGGACAAATGTATAGGATATGGGTTTTTGACCAAATCGAATTTATTTTTCGACGGGAATCAAAAAAAAAAAAAAAAATCGAAGAAACTTGACATTTTCACTGAATGATAACAAAACCGATCTTAAGAGATGTTATAATGTCCAAAAAAACTTAATTTTTATAAAGCTATTAATATGTTTTAAATATTTACTTTTTAAGAAATAATTTTAATTAATTTGTCGATGTTGTTAAAATAATTTAAGTTTCACAAAAATGTCTGAAAAATTTAAAAGTTGATCAAAAAAAATCTCTTGTAAAGAAAAATATCAAATATCTATAATTTCAATATATTTTTATAAGAACCCATTTAAATTTTAAATTTTGACAATCTTCTACAAAAATCACAAATATCTGCAATATTTTTGTAATAATAATGTATAAAATATTTAACTTAAATACCTAAAAAATGACAGTCGAATAGAATATTTTTAACAAGTTATTATTTTCAGTATTCAATATAAAAACATTTTAACGGAAAGTCGCAAAAAAGTTTTATGAGAAACTTATAGAATTGAATTTTAGCGAAATACTCATTTGGTACTGATACTAATATAGTATATCTGATATATACATTTATACAAGTATACAAGTAAATATAAATATAAAAAAAGGATATTAGTTACTTTGTTGTCTTTTATAAATTATTAATTGTAGAGACTTGAAACAATTACTGAATACTCATATTAATATTATTTAGTGCTTATACAATGAGACTAATTAAAGCAAATTTAAAAGTTTTACGTTTTACTTAAATATTATTTCTTTTTTTTCTTCACCACCAATCTGATTACGAAATTAAAAAGTACTGATACTTATAGAGTAATTTATATTATAATTTATATTATATTTAGGCATAGCTGCTGATCTACTCATTATCTTTACTTTTTGAAATTAAGGATACTATGATTTCAAATATAAATATAAAAATAATTAGTCATCAGTTTCTGTTTCTTATCTAACCTTCGTTACCAATTAAGTCAATTAGAAGACTAACTTATAATGTAAGTATAAAAAATTATTTCTATATGTACCTATTAGATTTTCATATAATAATGTACAAAAATATGTAAAATAACTATATAGGTTTTCTTATATGTTTCTGAGATCGATAAAATGGTACACCGGTGAGCGTTAACACTATACAATGTATTAATATTGTGAAAAATATTAATACATTTTTTAGCTGAAAAATATTTCGAAAAAGATGGCAGTGAAACGGGTCAAATAATATGATATATTTCACGCAATAACTCAAACGGATTATTGTTGGCTGTCATTTATTATCATATAATATGCATACGGTGGGGTATTCAATGTTAAATCCGTGTTCAGACCCTAAATGGTGGAACGGAGGACGTTTTTCAGACATCGACATTGCGTGTAAAGGACACCATCACTAACCAAACTACTATCATTGTAGTTTATGTCACAATGAAGGATGTTTTATCATTTTCAACGATATGTCACATGGCTATACTCAAGTGAAGTTTTTTATTTTATGTTTACACAAATATTTATATAAAATTATGTACCACAAAAATTTAACGTATTAAAATTGCATTCAAATTTTAGATAGTGTAATATTTAAAATATTTCTCATAAACCCGTGCAAAAGTATGAATGTTTATATGTTTATCTGATCAGTAAATAGTAAAATGAATAAATAATTATAAAATAAATAGAAGACTAATAATAAATAGATTATCTAAATTTATGTAAGAAACCTGTTCTTATGAACATGGAGTGAATTTTATTTTCGCGAATAAACATAAAAAGTAAAGTATTCAATATATATTAAATTAGTGTAATAGAGTTATATGCACGAGTCATTGGTTGGCTGAACTAGTCAATTGGAAAAATGTAAGTTATCTAGATTAATTAGTTTTATATAAAAAGCAAATGAACTTTAAAGGAATTTTAAATTTAACATGAGATTCCAAAATTCATACTATTTTGAATAATAATTCATTGGTGTGCACGAATATACTCGTATTAGCCTTTTTTATAAATAAATATTTTGTATGATAAATCATTAGAAAAATATAAGTACAAGTAATAAAAAATAAGTAAGGTTTAAAATATAATAAAAATAAAATATAATTTCATAAACAAGGACTTTAAGCTATTCAGCTGAAATTCCAAATTAGTCGATAATCATAATATTTAATAATAGTCTTATTTAATAAAAAAAAAACGAACTATGATAATTCACTAAATATGCTATATGTTGAATCTATTGAATAACTAAACATAAGATAACGTTTAATCATATAACTGTTACTTTTACAGCTTCTGTGTTATAAATATTCCATAAAATATACCCATTAAAAAATAAATGTAAGATGTTTAAGAAATTATGCTATACTTCTAGTTTTAGACTTAAATATTTCTATCTTATCAGTTCTTTGATCAACATTTTGATCAACCTAACCTTAACATTTATCTTCAAATGTGATAAATCTCTACAAGTAGATGGTTACATAAAATAAACTTGTGTCAAGTTTATAAAACTACTATATCTTCAAATTACATAATGAATGCTACACATATTCTATTATTATTAACTACTTAAATAATTAATAGAGCTTGGTTTACATTAAATACCAAAAATATAAATTAAATATTATATTTTCAATGAAGAATGTATCAAGGCAACATACTAATTATTTCCCTTTATTTCACATTACAATGTTTTACACTTATTTTTTTTCCTATTAATATATTTAATGGGATCCTGATTATCAGTTAAATTATTAAATCTAAAAATGGGATCATTCATAGTAGATAAAAATCTTATCTTAAATAACTTTTTGAAAACTTAGTTATACATTGTATTCTATTGATATAATAAATCACAGTTTATTTTTGAATTAAAAAGCGATAAAATCTTACTTATTATTGTCATTTACTAGCAGAGTTGGACAAAAATAAATCAAAATAAAGAATAAAAATAAAAGCATGAATAACTATTTTATTTATTCGTTAAAATCTTGAATGATATTAATTAAATAATGCTTTTAAGTATAAAAGTATATTTAATTTATTTTTATCATTTATTATATGTATTAATATGTATTACCTTTATATACGAGGTTAGGTTCGTATATTATTTAAGTCTAAATAATAAGTATATTATTATTATGTATCGTTATTTAGAATTTAAATTTATTATTTATATGATTATAGGGAATAACGAATAAAGAATAATAATACAAATTAAAATCAATAATAAAATTAAGAATAAATCAATGAAGAACAATTTTTTCTTCAAATAATCAATCGAATAATATTTTATTCGACTAATGCTCAACTCTGTTTACAAGACTTTAATATAAATATTTTAATATACTTTAATATAAACAAAACGTTAATCGGATCGAATCAAATATTTATCGAACATACTGTATAATAATTAGAATTAAACTTTTATATTAAGAATATATTTTATAAGTTATATAAATATTTTAAGTTATAGATGAAATTTATGAAAAATTAAGCTTTTAATTAATTTTCTAACAAAATAGATATGAAAATCAATGTTTAAACTAGCCCACTTTTAAATATTTTGTTTATTAATATTGTACATTGAAATTAAATTTTTTGTCCAATTCAACATGATTAGTGTAAAAATACTATTATAAATCAATAACTATTCTAAAAGCTTATTAAACTAAATACATTCCATAATTCAACATTTAAATTTAATTCCGATGAATTAATAGAAAGCCTTAACTGTAATTTATAATGCAATAACTTCAGGTTCATCAAACGATAATGTTCAACAGATTTATAAATGAGTAACTTTATAAACTATAGTCTACATAGAGTTCCCTAGTTTAAACAAACAATAAAATATATTGTAGTATTATAAACTGTAGTAATATTTTTTTTTGAACGCATTTTTTTGTATTCAATATTTATTTAGCTTTGGAGATCTTTAAGCTTTAGATACATCGAATCGTAGTATACCCGACATATAAATCAGAGGTTTCAATTACGGCAGGTGAAAACTGGAACCTATGAGTTTTTTTTTATTTTGTCTTATTTTCCCCCTTATTCTAGGTTGTACTAAAGTATAGACCCGAGCTTACGCCAACTGTCGTTATTGTATTTTATGGCAATACTGAAAATATATTGAGTTTTCTTCTTATAGCGTCAGCCTCCTCCTATCCACTGTTATAACTAGTGGATAAGAATAAATACTTGAATTTTAGTTGTTCTAGAATTGGACATTTGTTATTTATATCTTTAGTTATAGTGATCATTTTATTTGACATTTTTACTACAGATGCCTTTTGGTAACTTTGTAGTAAATAATTTAATACATACTTAATAACAACTTTAATAATGAATTCCATAACTAAATGCTAAAAAAAAAATTAAAATTTACATTTTAATATCAAAAAATACTATTCAATTTTCTTTAAAAAATCCAACATACATGCATAGTTATATTGTTTTTAGTTTTATATTAAATATATTTTGCCTTATTTATTAATTATTATGATGATAAATACAAATGCTTTTAAGCTAGAATCATTTTTACTGTTTAATTATTAATTAAGATAGGTATATTTTTATTTTATTCATCGTACCTAACATATTTGAATGTTTCCATGTTATAATTTTTTATGGATTAATAATATATATTAAAAATAATATTATAATTTTGCTATACTGAACTTAACATCAATTTTAAAATGTATTAATTTACCTTTACTTATAAGTTACAATACAAGAGTCGTTACATATATACCACCCAGTTATTTGCATTCTATTCGAATTATATTTATTTATTAATTGCACAAATTATCAGTATATTTGATTTATAACCTATCTGTTTTACATGTGATATTACAATAGTATAAAGATTTGTTTGTCACTTACCTTCGAATGATGTTTGAAAAAACTTTGAATTGTAACTTTGTTCTAATTATACAAAATATTGTATAATTGATGATTGAGGGTAAGCACCAAAAATGTGACAAGATATCGTAAATTCTGAAATTAAAAATTAGTTTATGTATAACAAATCACACTATATAATATCTTAGTAAGTTATAAATATATTCACATGAAATGTATTATATAGTAATAATTATTGTTATAAGACATTATTGATTTTTTTTTTAATCTTTAATAAGTATTATTTATTTATTTATTTATTTATTTAATATCGTGAAACTAATGTAGGTAGTAATAAACAATTTAATTTTTATTGAAATTATATAGTAGGTATAAATGATAAAATATATGAAACTATTACGTTCCAAAATATTTCTTCATTCCTAATTCTTGTCAAGAGCTAGCAAAAAGTATTATTGTATTATTTTAGTGTTGTATATTTTATAATGGTTATAATAATAATAAAAGAATAGTAATAATATCAAACTAAAAATCCGTAGCACAATAACATGTATTAAAATAATAATTACAAAATTGAATGAACTTGAAAAAATATTCCATATTTAAAATTTGCAAAGTTATAAAATCATAAGGGTTATTAAATAATTCTGTTAAATGTTTACAAATATTTAATAATCAATAATTATTATTTTTTTCAGACAAAATGATTGCAATAACTATAAATTAATAGGATTTTTCAAAAGAGTTTTTCTATAGTTTTCTATACTTAATTTTTAAATTAAAAAATACCTTAATATATATAAAATATGTATAAAAATATTAAGAATTTGATTTTCTTTAATAACTTATTTATTTACTTTTAATTAAGAAATCAAAGTTTAAAATTCATAATCCAATACAACACACAAAAAAAAATAAATCTTTAATACAATAATAATTTACTTTATAATTTTCTATATAGAGTTACAACAATTTTCATTTGTAACAAAAAAAAAAAATTTTATTATTGCACGATATTACATCTGAAACCTTTAATTTTTATTTATAAAAGAAAAACAAAGTAATCAAATACATTAGCTATTTATTATTTCCATTCCATACAACTAACAGTTAATACACAGTTAATAATATTTACAATAATATTTTTACATTGGTTATGTGGTTAGAACCATACGAATTTTTTCTTATATTCCATGTAAAAATAACATACGTAAATTACTATAGTAAGCTTAGATCGTCAACATGTCGTTTAACCAATAGCGTGATCGCAAGGGTGTGTAATTGGATTCTGTGGAGGTCGAACGGTTAACAACGATTACGATCACTGCGCGCCCAAAAACGTCGTCGTTGAACAAGATCACACGCTCCGAATAGGACGCGACGTGGCGAATGTAAACACAAACCCAATGATCTGATTATTTGTCAAAAAAAAGTAAATGAAATGGGAAAAAATATAAAGAGTATAACATAGACACATACTAATTTACACAAGTTCATTTGAATTAACAAATCTGATAAATTCTGTTACGCGTATACCGTTATCTTGGAAGTCTCAGGCGAATTTTGTGGTGAAGCGGCGTTAAATATATATTATATACAAAGGGTGACTCGTCGTATTTTCTCCACTTATCTGTGTTAGTTATTACATTATAAAACGGTTAACATAGTTAACATCCTGTATATATATATAAACAAATACAGAGTGGAAGAGTTGAATTTCTCGCCTCTTTGTGAAATTAGGACATATTCGGCGTGTACGGTATAGTAGGACGGGTTTATGTCAGAGCACGTTAGGTATGGAAAGGAAGCATAACTCTAATAAGCAGATTAAGAGAGAGTAAGAGAGTGCTGCAGAAGGGTGGAAAACTTTTTCCTCCTTTTCACTCCTCTTCCTTCCTCAAAAACACACACCTCACATCCCGTTTTTCCAAGTTACCAAGTCGTTTATTTCGTAAAAGTTACATCTCATTTTGCCACCACTACCTCCCTCTTTCCATTAACCGACATCATAACCTCATCTTTCCTCGCCTGCACTTAAATGGCAAAGCTTGGTAATGATTTACGGTGCTAACTTTATTCTGTTTATGTTTTTTTTTTCCCCAGTTGTTGGATTGCCCTCTTTGCCTATCCCCTGTCCATCCCAAGCCATGTATGTGTGTGTATATGTGTGTGTGTGTGTGTGTGTGTGTGTGTGTGTGTGTGTGTGTGTGT